ATTTGGCAGAAAAGAGTCACCGGCACTCAGCTGAGCTGCTTACAAAGCCAGATGATTCTCCCCTGGGTCTCTGATCACTTTCCCAACGTCACCCTCTCCCCAGGAGGGTGAGACGGTCCCAGGAGGAAAGACTTCCCCCGCAGATGTCAATCATCCCTTCCAGGCCACCCAAGACACAAACAAAGTTGATTTATCTCCCCTAGACAACACTTTGGACCAGAAAGTTTTGAGCTCAGCCTTGGGCACCAGGGCAGTTTACTGGGGAAAACCCCACTAACCAGGAGCAGGAATCTTGGGGACCCCCTGCCACAGCAGCAGCCTTGCTGGGGACCACCTGCCCTGGCCACATTCTCTCCTTCTCCACTCAATTCCAGTTCTTGCCCTAAAATGCAGATAAATGCATGAGCCTCCGCCCTGTGTCTCACTGGGGGTGTTTACCCCTGTCCTGCCATGGGACAGTGGGAAGATATAAACAAGGAGGCGCTGCCCCCCATCCTCCCGGCAGATGCCACAAGCCCCCTCGCTCCCAGCACCCGCCCCCACGATCTCCCCCCAGTCTCAGGAGCAGACGCTCACTTGCCCCTGCCACGTCCCCACCCCCACGACGGCCACCTACCCGTGACTGCACGGCAGCCCCAGCCCCTGCCTGCTGCCTGCCCAGTGGAATCCGGGTTGCGGAGACTGTTGACACCCACGGCCACCACACACTGGAGCTTCCTGGCCTGTGCACTAATGGGCTATATTTGTCGGCTGATAATATGATCTGTAGGCCATGTGCTGATAAACTATCTATCTATTCTATGTGACTCAGCCCGGCATGAGACAAAACACATTTCAGAGGGGAGGGCTTGGCATGGGGCAAACAACGAGCTGGCCAGTGTGAGCCCTCCAACCCGGGATTACCATACCTCCCTTTTCACACAGGCCGTCCTGAAGCGAGTCAAGTAAAATAGGCCAGAGAGGGGAAAGAGCCCTGTGTTCTCTGCATTCCGAGCTAAGAACCACACAAAAAGCAGGATCAGAACGCCATCGACCCAGCGAATGTAAAACTGTTTTCAGTGTTTGAAGCTACAGCTATCTCACGTCTGGATTTCACCTTGTTTTTCTTCTAAAGTTCCTAAAACATATGAGAATTTAGGTTCTCTTTAGTGATTTTACTAACTGGGCAAAGATGCTTTGCTGAGATTCAACATTGTGACAATTTGACAATCAGTTAATCAGGAATTGCTCCCACCTTACTGCATCCCCCACCCGCCATGTCCCCCACCCAGCCCCCACCCCCGTCTGTTCCAAGAGGGTCCCTACAACCACCCCGCTTCCGGGCAACAGACTCCTCATACACCTTCATCCTAAACAGAAAAACACCCTTTGTCCAATATAGACATAATAACTCTAACTACAAAATAGTTGGATTTTGAAGGGACTATGTTCTATGTGTTGACATTTATAATTAAATTATCATTTTATTGATGCAATCCCTATCCAAATACCAACAGCATTTTTCACAGAACTAGAACAAACCATCCTAAAATGTATATGGAACGACAAAAGACCCCAAATAGCCAAAGCAATTTTGAAAAAAGAAGAGCAAAGCTGGAGGCATCACAATTCCACACCTCAAGTTACATTACAAACCTGTAGTAATCAAAACAGTATGGTACTGGGACAAAAGCAGACACGTAGATCAACGGAACAGAATAGAAAACCCAGAGGGGCGCCTGGGTGGCTCATTCGTTAAGCGTCTGCCTTCGGCTCAGGTCGTGATCTCAGGGTCCTGGGATCGAGCCCCGCATCCGGCTCCCTGCTCTGCGGGAGGCCTGCTTCTCCCTCTCCCCCTCCCCCTGCTTGTGTTCCCTCTCTCGCTGTGTCTCTCTCTGTCAAATAAATAAATAAAATCTTTAAAAAAAAAAAAAAAGAATAGAAAACCCAGAAATAAACCCACAATTATATGGCCAATTAATTTTCAACAAAGCAGGAAAGAATATGCAATGGGAAAAAGACAGTCTCTTCAACAACTGGTGTTGGGAAAACTGATCAGCTACATATGATCAAAGAATGAATGAGCAAAAGAATGAAACTGGACCACTTTCTCACACCATACACAAAAATAAACTCAAAATGGATTAAAGACCTAAATGTGAGACCTGAAACCATAAAAATCCTAGAAGAGAGAGGCGTGTGGGTGGCTCAGTCATTAAGCGTCTGCCTTCGGCTCAGGTCATGATCCCGGGGTCCTAGGATCGAGCCCCACATCGGGCTCCCTGCTCGGCGGGAAGCCCGCTTCCCCCTCTCCCACTCCCCCTGCTTGTGTTCCCTCTCTCACTGTGTCTCTCTCTGTCAAATAAATAAATAAAATCTTTAAAAAAAAATCCTAGAAGAGAACACAGACAGTAATGTCTCTCAGAGCAGCCATGGCAAAGTTTTTCTAGATAGGTCTCCTGAGGCAAGGAAAACAAAAGCAAAAATAAACTACTGGGACTTCATCAAAATAAAAAGCTTCTACACAGTGAAGGAAATGATCAAAAAACTAAAAGGCAACCTACAGAATGGGAGAAGATATTTGCAAATGACATATCCGATAAAGGCTTAGTACCCAAAATATATAAAGAACTGATACAACTCAACACCCCAAAAAACAATCCAATTAAAAATGGGCAGAAGACTAGAACAGATATTTTTCCAAAGACATCCAGATGGCCAACAGACACATGAAAAGATGCTCAACATCAGTCATCATCAGGGAAATGCAAATCAAAACTACAATGAGATATCACATCTGTCAGAATGGCTAAAATAAAAAACACAAGAAACAACAAATGTTGGTGAGGATGTGTAGAAAAAGGAACCCTCGTGCACTGTTGGTGGGAATGCAAAGTTGTGCATGCAGTCACCGTGCAAAATAGTATGGAGTTAAAAATAGAACTACCCTACAATTCAGTATTCACACTACTGGGTATTTACCAAAAAAAGACAAAACCACTAATTCAAAGGGAAACATGCACTCCTATGTTCATAGCAGCATTATTTACAATAGCCAACATATGGAAGCAGCCCAAGTGTCCATTTTATTCAGCCATAAATAAGAACAAAATCTCGCCATTTGCAATGACATGGAAAGAGCTAGAGAGTATAATGCTAAGCGAAATAAGTCAGTCAAATACCATATGATTTCACTCATATGTGGAATTTAAGAAACAAAACAAGCAAGCCAAAGGCGGGGGGAGAGAGAGTTAAACCGAGAGAGAGAATAAACTGCTGGTTACCAGAGGGGAGGTGGATGGGGGATGGGGGAAATAGGTGATGGGGATTAAGGAGCGCACTTGTGATGAGCGCTGGGTGATGTATGGAAGTGTTGAATCACTATATTGTACACCTGAAACTAATATTACACTGCAAGTTACCTATATTGGAATTAAGTTTTTTTTAAATAAGGTTTTTTATTTTAATAGACAAAAAAATTTTTTTAATAAATTATCATTTTAAATTGTATGCCAAGTTGATGGGAATCAAATAAAACTCTGTGACAATATTAAATCCTACCTCTAAAGTGTTGGATGTGCTTTTTATTACTTAGAATTTGAATAGTATTTTTCTCTTTTGCTACACAATGTAAGTTTCCTATTTAGTAATTGTTTCCTTTGGTTTTTGTTTTGTTTTGTTTATGGTGTTCTGAACCAAAGAATATAAATTGAAAAGCTAGTTTAAGGTCAAACACTACTTAAATACTTTTTCAATTTATAAGAGGGCTAACTATTCAAAAGCTCAATCATATTTAAGGGGAAAATATTTTCCCCCACCAATACATTCAAATACAATGGGCATCCTTTATGATGCTAGGGTTAGAGAAGCAGGTTATTGTTCAGCCCAGGCTCCTCAGCCTGCAATGTGCACCCAGATAGGATTGAGAAATTTAGCAAATAAAAATACTTTCAGTTACATTTGAATTCCAGATAAACCATAAGTAATTTTTTAATGTAAGTATGTTTCCAACACTGCATGAGTCATACTTAAAAATTATTTGTGGTTTATCTGGAATTTCAATATTCCTGGGTGTCCTGTATTTTATCTGGCAACCCCCCACCCAAACCACCTAGGATCTTAGTGAGTGCAGAATCTGACGCAGGAGGCCAGCGAGGGGCTTGGAGTCTGTCTCCCTAACAAGCTCCAGGTGATGCCGAAGCTCCAGGTCCGGGGACCCCAACACAAAGGGCCCTAAGGACCTGGAATTAGCTCAGTCTGAGACAGTGGTACCCGGATGGCCTGGGTGGACCCCTCTCTCCCTAGGAGGTTCTGACTCCGTCTGGGGTGAGGTCCAGTGATCATAGTTCAGCATGTTCCACAGTGGCTTCTGATTCACAGGCAGGGATGTGGATCAAGAAGTATTTTAAAATACACAATGTACTTACGTTAATACAGGGAACTGTTATTACTGTATTAAAAGCACTGTGTGCAGATGCTGCATCTCTTGACTGTGTCTGGAAAGAATTTCCAGGGGCACCTGGCTGGCTCAGTCAGCAGAACATGGGACTCTTGCTCTCAGGGTTGTAAGTTTGAGCCCCTCCTTGGATGTAGATTACTTAATAAAATCTTTTAAAAAAAGAAAGAAAGAAAAAAGAGAAAGAACGGAAGGAAGGAAGGAAGGAAGGAAGGAAGGAAGGAAGGAAGGAAGGAAGGAAGGAAGGAAGGAAGGAAGGAAGGAAGGAAGATGCCTGGGTGGCTCAGTCGGTTAAGTGTCTGCCTCCCGCTCAGGTCATGATCCCAGGGTCCTGGGATTCAGTCCCACATCAGGCTCCCTGCTCAGCGGGGAGTCTGCTTCTCCCTCTCCCCCCTGCTCATGCTCTCTCTCTCTCTCTAATAAATAAATAAAATCTGAAAAAGAAAGAACGAACTTGGAGTTTCTGAGTTCCCGAGGGGCAGAAGGTAGAACTGTGCCCTGTGGTCTTCACCCCCAGGGTCCCCTTACAGTCCCCAACTCTTAACACGGTCTTATTATTACCAACCTCAGCTGCTTCCTCACAGCTGGGCACTTTCTTATGCACTTCAGCAGCAGCTGGCCTTGCAGCCTCTCACCAAGTGCAGTCCGCAGCTTCGGCGTCTCCCCGGGGATCCCCAGGTTTGCCTCCGATCGGAGGGGGCCCCACACACAAAGCCGCCCAGACGTCCACGGGGCCCAGTGCTCTCCTCACAGCCATTCTGAGCCTAGGACGCCCGTGGGAACGCTGAGTCACACACCCTGCAAAGCCTTCTTCCAAGTAAATCCCTGGTGTCACATGCCTGTCGTCACTGTGATATAATGATAGAAGAATGAAAAACCCCAAATGTTAGAATCCGATTCATGCTACTGCAGTGACCGTTCCCAAATGCTTCCTGCTGAAGAAGGAACGCCTGGTGAGGGCCCCTGCTTCACCGCTTGGCAGGTGCCGCTAAAAGCCCCCGAGGAAGGCTGCCCTGCCCCCATCTTACAGTAACTTACATTAACTACATGACCCAATGATACTATTTGGGATACACTGGGTGCAATCAAAATATATTACGAAAGTTAATTTTACCCGATTCTCTGTACTTTGCTAACGTGACCAGCCAGAACATTTAAACTCACACAGGGGGCTGGCATGGCATTTCTATTGGGCTGCACTCCCTGAGGGACTGAGCCTAGACGTGGGTGACCCCAGTGGGCCATCCTGACGGCTGCTCCCCTCGCCACCAAGATGGGCCACAGAGAGGGTTAAGAAGCCAGGCTCAGAATGTGGCACCCTCTCGAAGACTTTCGTGTAGTTTTTCTCTGGGAGGAGGCCAAGCCTCTTCCCAAATACAGTTATTCAACTGCAGGAGGCCAGAACGCTGATCTGTGCCAGGTCCGCCGCTAAGAATAGTGTCATCCGTATCCTGGACGCGGACCACACATCCCTGTGGTCCCCAGGCAGTCTGGACGTGGTGCTCACCGGCGTCCCCTGGAGGACGGTTTTGCCGATGACGGGGCTCTATTTAGAAACCCAGGGTTGCATTGGTCATTCCCACTCAGCCAAACTGTAATGATCAAGAATGCCAATCTTAAAATTCCCATTGGAAGCTCTTCCTGTGGGCTGGTGCAATTGGAGATGGAGCTGCTTTTGTTTAATTTTTTCGTGTTTTTTTTTTTTTAATTTTGGTACTATCCTTATGCTTAAAATGAAACACACACACACACACACACACACAAAGTCAAAACCAGGGCGCCTGGGTGGCTCAGATGGTTAAGCGTCTGCCTTCGGCTCAGGTCATGATCCCAGGGTCCTGGGATCGAGTCCCGCATCGGGCTCTCTGCTCCTTGGGAGCCTGCTTCTCCCTCTGCCTCTCTCTCTCTGTCTCTCATGAATAAATAAATAAAATCTTTTAAAAAAAATAAATAAATAAATAAATAAACAAAGTCAAAACCAAACAAAAAACCAAAAAATGCACACCCCACGAATCATTGCTCACACTTTTTGGGTGCCCACTATACGCCAGGCACAGTTCTGGGTGCTCGATGACATGTCTAACCTTGGAAAATACCAGAAACAAAACAGGAAATAAAAGGTACCACTGTCCTTAACGTAGCAGAAATGACAGCATTTTCTGTTATCTCGTCACACGCTGGCCACCACACCGACAGAGAGGCATTAGTCCATTCGTTTCACTGAGCAGGCTACGAGGCCCAAGGATTCCCTGTTCTCAGGTGAGCATGGGAACACCCGTGACCTCCCTGAGATACTGTGCTGTGTCCAGAAGCCTGTTGACGCTTTCTTTATACATGGATCTCCTTTTTTCGAAGTCCTTAGGAAACTAGAAACTGCACGTTGCACTCAGAGCCAGTCACTACTCCCTCCTCCTGCTGAATTCGGGAGAGCCTGCAAGTTCCTCCTGCCCCGCCCTCACACCCACTTCTCCAGCCGCGCGGCGGAGCATCACTCAAGGCCCAGGCGTTTCTTGGCTGCTCTATTACAACAGTCGCTCCCAGCTTCTGTACCTGTCGCCACAGATCTTCCCAAACACACAGACCTGCTCAGGTCACTCTCCTGCTGGATTCTTCAGAGTGCTGCATTAAAGGCAAAATTGTGTGCCCGGTCTCTAGGGCCCGCCCCCTGGGGGCCTCCAGGTCTCACCTGCCCCTCGCATCCCCACTGCCTGCCCCATCACCCTTCTCCAGCTCAAACACACCCTTCCCGTTCCCTCCTTCTGCCAGGCCCAGTTATGCTTTTTTGTACCTGTTCCCCTCTCTGACTCCGCCTCTGGAAAAGTGACCCCTTACTTCTTTTGCCAAGGCACCATCATCAACACAGGCTCGCTAACATTGATGAAACGCACTTAATTACATGTCCATTTCCCCTTGACTGTAAGGGTCTGAGGATAGGAGCCATCCTTCCTTTAAATCTTGGTAGTCATCCCACCTAGCCCGTTACCTGGCACATGGTAGGAGTAAGGAATGAATGAATGTCTGAGGGTTGTTTGACCTGCCTCAGGGGGGAAAGAGATATATAGAAAGACAGTGACGGGGCGCCTGGGTGGCTCAGTCGTGTGAGCCTCTGCCTTCAACTCAGGTCATGATCTCAGGGTCCTGGGACTGAGCCCCAAGTCGGGCTCCCTGCTCAGCGGGGAACCTGCTTCTCCCTCTCCCTCTGCCTCTCCCCCTGCTTGTGCTCTCCCTCTGTCAAATAAATAAATAAAATCTTTTTTTTTTAAAGGCGGTGACATTTGTCAAATGCCTGAATGTGCTAGAATTATAGTGGGTGTTTATCTAATAAAGATATAAGAAATCTTATAAAATATAAGAAGCCTATGGTAGAGCATCTCTGTGGGCAGATGTTCATATTCCCATTGTAGGAGGATAATGCAGGATAATGAAGCTGAAGCTTAGTAACCTCTTTAAAGCAAGTTAAATGTGCCCAGGGGTATGCACTCACCTTCCCCCTTCCACCCGCCTTCAACATATTTGTTGAGAAATCCCAGGAAGCATGGCCTTGGGTGTTGGGGTGGCTCAGTCAGTTAATTGCCTGCCTTCAGCCCAGGTCATGATCCCAGGGTCCTGAGATCGAGCCCCATGTCGGGCTCCCTGCCCAGCAGGGAGTCTGCTTCTCCCTCTCCCTCTGCCCCTCCCCCCTGCTATGCTCTCTCTCTCTCTCTCTCTCTCTGTCAAATAAATAAATAAAATCTTAAAAAAAAAAACAAAGAGCACCCACAAATAATGCTTCATAAACAATGTCCACATCAATGACAAATAGAGCTCTGGAGAAAACCCGCTCAGGAAAACCTGAATGGCTTATCTAGAGATGAAATAAGACAATGGATTTCCAACCTGGTGATTTTCGTAAGTGGATAAGGAGAAAGGTAAATACATACCCAGAAATTGAAATGGAAAAAAAAATGACATTTTTTCCCTGTTATTAAAATCTTGAATTCACTACAGCCTTGCTCTAGCCTGAAGGATCCAGTGCTGGATGAGCTAGTCTGCTCAGGGTCCTGTCTTTCTGTTTAATCCCCCTTGAGGCCTTACACTGCCAGATTTATCAGCAGCCTGCCTGTTCACATACTGTCTCCATCCATTCGGGCTGCTATAATAAAGTACTATACACACGTGGCTTATGAACAACAGAAATCTGTTTCTCACGGCTCTGGAAGCTGGAAGTCCAAGATCAAGTTGCCGGCACGGTTGAGCGGGGGGGCCCTCTTCCAGGTGGCTGACTTCTCATTGTTGACCTTGCATCCAGTACCCTTGTGAAATGTACTTACTATGTAAGTTGGCTGGGGCTGCCATAGCAAATACCACAAACCTAGGGGCTTCAGCAACAGACATTTCTTTTCTCACAGTTCGGGAGGCTAGAGGTCCAAGATCAAGGTGTCAGCAGGTTTGGTTTCTTCTGAGGCCTCTCTTCTTGGCTTGCAGGTGGGTTTCTTCTTCCTGGGTCCTCATATGGTCTTTCCTGTGCATGCACACACCTCAGTCCTAATCTCCTCTCCGTATAAGGACACCCATCATATTGGATTAGGGCCCACCCACATGAGTTCATTTTAGCTTAACTACTTCATCAAAGGCCCTATCTCCAACAGTCATTTCTGAGGTTCTAGGGGTTAGGACTTCAACATATAAATTTCAGGACACACCAATTAAGCTCCGAACACTTCTCAAGTCCCATAGTTTATCTCTAGAGTCTTTTGGGTTGTTTACATGTAGAATCTTGTTGTTGGTGAATATACTATGTGTGTGTTCTACAAGAAGAGACAAAGAGGCTAACCAAACAGAATAAAGCAATAGAAAAAGACATTAAAAACAAAACAAAACAAAAAAAACCCCTCACACCACATGAACAAATGATTCCTGATGAAAAATGCCATTGCAGAGCAGTAATGTAAGAATGATCTTTCCAGTAAAGCGGTGCTGAATCTTTGTGTAGATTCAATGCAACGGGCACCACACAGCAGTGAATAAGAGCAAACTTCTACAAACAACATGGATGGCTCCCCCCAGCATAACGTTGAGCAGAAAGAAGCAGACATACACACACACTCGGGATTAGATAAAGTTCCAAACCGTGGAGAAACCAATCTATGGGATTTGAAATGAGAAAAGTAGTGAGCTTTGGGGAAGTGGGAGGTGGACTTCTGGGGTTCTAGTAATATTCTTACTCTTGACCTGGGTAGTGGTTACATGGTACTTTGGAATAATTTATTAACCTACAACCCTTGCTATTTGTACATTTTTATGAGTGCATAAACTTAAAATTTAACTTCAATTAAAAAAAAAGTTCCAAAGTGTTTGCATTCATTCTATATTGCTGGGTAACAAATTCTCACAAACTCAGTGGGTTAACACAACATCCACTGATTATCACGGTGGTGGCCGCAGCTCAGAAGGGCAGCCTGGGGGCTGTCTCCAGAATGGGGCACACTTCAAAGTTTCCCGGGGGCCGTTTGCATACAGGAAGCCTCACTGTAATTGATTTCTGATACGATTTGGGATTTGCATTTCAGCCTTGGACTTCCACTTGCTCTTAATCCATTTCAAAACCACCAAGAGCTGTGAAGAATGCCCGGATGCAATCACATACAAAATCCACTTAAGAAGCACTTTTAAATGAGATTCTCCAGGTCTTGTGAAACCAGCTCTCTGCTGGAGCCATGACTTGGTCAGCAGGGCCTCAGGAAGTGACCGCTCCCTCACCATCAGCAGAGTTTTGATAAAAGTAAAATGGCACTTGGCATAGATTTCTGGGC